AATATAAATCCTGCAACCATTCTCGAGAAGTACCCGGTACCCAGATTGGAAGATCTGTGGGCCAAACTTTCAGGAGGCGTCAAGTTTACCAAACTGGACCTGAAGGACGCATACCAACAGGTGGAGCTCGAGCCTGAGAGTCAGAAGATTGTCACCATCAACACTCCAAAAGGACTTTTTTAATATACCAGACTACCATTTGGAGTATCCTCGGCTCCTGCAATCTTTCAGAGAGAAATGGAAAACCTACTGCAGGATATGCAACACGTCGTCGTATACTTTGACGATATTCTCGTGACTGGACTCAATGACAAAGACCACCTAAAAAATCTTGAACAAGTGCTGCAGCGTCTAGAGGGCGCAGGTCTCAAGCTCAAGCTAGAAAAATGCACATTTATGGCCCTCGAAGTGGAATACCTTGGGCATGTGATTGAAGCTGGAGGACTGAAGCCAACGCCACGCAAGGTAGAAGCTGTCCTAAATGCGCCTCGACCAGTTGACCTCAAGCAGCTTCAAAGCTACCTTGGACTCGTCAACTATTACCGGCGTTTCCTTCCCAACTCGTCCTCAGTACTTCAACCGTTGTACCACCTGCTCGCTGCGAATACATCATGTCGATGGGGGCAACAAGAGGAGAAGTCTTTTCACAAGAGCAAAGAGCTCTTGACATCTGTAGCAGTAATTCAACACTTTGATCCTAACAAAGAGATCATCCTCAGCTGCGACGCATCTCCTTACGGACTCGGCGCTGTTCTTGCCCATCGAGATTCAAGGGGACAGGAACGTCCCATAGCCTTCGCCTCGAGAAGCCTCTTACCAGCTGAGCAAAATTACAGTCAGCTTGATAAGGAAGCCTTGGCACTCGTTTTCGGAGTGACGAAGTTTCATCAGTACCTTTGGGGTAACCAGTTTGAAGCCGTCACTGACCATAAACCTCTCCTTGGACTTCTGGGCCTTGACAAGGCCATTCCAGAGAGAGGATCACCTCGAGTCATACGTTGGGCAATTACACTAGCAGCGTACAAGTACAAGCTGGTCTACCGACCCGGCCCGAGTATAGGTAACGCCGATGCGTTGAGTCGCTTACCGTTACCAGTGGACAACTTCCAACTTCCACGGCCAGGTGATGTACTCATGTTGGAAGCGGCGTACCCTGCTGTTCTTTCCGCCGCAGTCGTTGCACAGCATACCGCGACTACCCAGTGTTGTCACGATTGAGACAAGCACTGTGGTCCGGTAGCGATCTCCCAGGAGGACCACAGTGGTCGCCTTTTCGAACAAAGCTGACAGAACTCAGCGTCCAAGAAGACTGTTTACTGTGGGGATCAAGAGTGATCATCCCACTCAGGTTACAAGAGCAAGTACTTCAATTACTGCACGAAAGCCATCCAGGAGTGGAGAAGATGAAGTCCATTGCACGAAGTCACGTCTGGTGGGATGGGCTAGACCACAGTATCACGGCAAAGCTTCAAGATTGTCGTGAATGCCAAGAACATCACCGTTCGGATTGGAAAGTACAGTCAACCCCGTGGCCTTTTCCAGAACGGCCATGGTCTCGCTTACATGCTGACTTTGGTGGTCCATTCCAAGGACGTTATTTCCTGGTATTGGTCGACGCATACTCGAAGTGGGTTGAGGTCATACCGGTATCGTCACCCTCTGCTGATGCTACGATCAAATGCCTTCGGAACATCTTTTCGACACACGGTCTGACACACGGTCTGGCCTTCGTAAGCGACAAGTACAGCGAATTCCTAAGCCGCAATGGGATCCGACGTATGCTGATTCCCCCTTACCACCCAGCATCAAATGGAGCTGCGGAACGCGTCGTGCAGACCGTGAAAGGAATGCTGAAGAAAGCGTCATCTGGAGATTTTCAGACCAAGATTGACAGGATGCTTCTGACATACAGAACTACAAAGCATTCACTAACAGGTCATAGTCCAGCTGAGCTGCTAATGGGCAGAAAGCTAAAGACAGCCCTAGACCTTCTACATCCGGACATGCGGAGTGAAGTACTCTGGAAGCAGCTGAAGCAAAAGTTACGCTGTGACCAAGGAGCACGCAAAGGCCCTCTACCTCAGCATGGTCAAAAAGTGCTTGCCCGAAATTTCAGATCAGGGCCTTCATGGCTTCCTGGGGTTGTTATACAACAATCGAGTTCATCATCTGTGCAAGTGGAACTGAAAGATGGGACTCGTTGGAACCGTCATGGTGACCATCTTCGAGAACATCATCGTCCACCTGTGACACCCTTCAGAGAGCACGGGGCAACCGACTCCTCAGCTGAACGAGACAGGTCAACCGAATCTTCCGGGAACGAAGATCATCATGGACCAACACAGCACACCATGACATAGGACCTCCTCGAACTCAGGAAGTTTCATGCCAGACGTTGCCAACCGTCCAGACTCCGAGTAGTCACGAAAAGCTACGCTCTACGAGAGTAAAAAAGCCCGTAGATCGTTACAAGCCTTAGGCCATAGTGACCCGAACTTTGACGTCTAGGTTTTGAGACAGTATTGTTGTTCCTTCGTATAAAAAGGGTAGGAGTGTGATGATGATGCTAGCGGCGCCATGCATCCGTGGCGCGAGAATAAAGACAAGAAGTGTCTGGCATCTCGAGCTGACTGCACACGCACGCTGAGAACAATGGTGTTCATTTCTTCCTATCCCCAGATTTACTCGGGAAAGCTTATAACAAGCGTAGCCTGGATTTTCTTTTTTTTTTTTTTTGGGGGGGGGGGGGGGGTCGAGGTGGCTGGGATGTTTATGATTTGTGGCGTGGAGAGGGGGAGGGGGGGGGTCAAAATACTTGTGTTTATTTAGGGTCGGCTGGCGCCAGACACATATGCTTGCCGGCATACAAACTGAGACCTCGTAGATGGAGCAAAAGGCTACTAATAATATTAACGAGGGCGAAAGTACAGATGGCAGTGCGGCCGGGTCGAGACACAGGAATATTAGTTCTGGCTTTGTCTTTCTCATCATCAAAACAGTTTTTTTTTTTCTTGGCGCAGGCGCCATCAGTCGCACTGAGCTGGATAAACTTCTCTTTTACAGCGTTTAAGAATGTCGGCATACCACAAAATCATACTAAACTCGCGTTGTCTAATCATCTAACGTCTAATTTGCTTCCTTTACGACAATACGGCCGGCGGGTTGCTCTGAGCCTCAGAGAGATGGTCGAATTGACCTTCGATATTATGCAGCGTGTTCTCCAAAAAGTTAAATAAGTTTTTTCGTTTTTATTTAACGGCAAAATACACAACGTTTAGCCAAACGTTCATTTTCCGTCCACATGTAGCACAAACGGTCTAATCCAGATGCCCAAGGTTTAGAACTAACCGTTCTTTTATTCGAAATTTAAAAGTGATTTTCTAATGCTTTCAATCCGAAAAGGGGGCTCATTCTCGGTACCTGGCGCCATTCAGCTTTCGTGTATCCGACGACCACTCGGCCGTCATTTTCCCGTTGAAATGTTTCGAAAATCGCGTATAACTTTCGAATAAAGTAACGGTTAGTTTTGAACATCTTGGGAATAAACAGCGGCAAAGAACCTTGGACAAGAGTAAAGGAACAAACACGACAGGACGGCGCTGAACTAACAACTGTTTTTTTATTACACAAAATGGGAAGGAAGAAAACAAGAAGCCTCTTAATTAGAGAGAGACCGTGAATAATCTGAGAAACAACTTCTTTGCCGGCTTTCCTGGTCATGTAAGACGAAAGTAAAATGCTGCAGTTGATTTTTTCTTAATCTTGTGATAGAATGGAATCGTATTCTTCGTCATTATCTTCGTTATCCGTGTGCTATTGCGTAGAAATTTGTAAATAGGCGTGGTAATATTCTAGTTTTTACCGGAAAGTAAATAACAAGTTTGAGTGATTATTGAAACTGCGTTGTTTTTGCTTATTTGTTTATTTAGACTAATGTTATTTCATTGCCTTTACCGCGTTTATACTAGAATCTTAACTGTATTAAGGTAGTAGTATTATTGTATACAAAATAGGTTATATTTTGTTCTTAGGCAGCTCGAGCCCATAGAGAGAAGTAAATTATAGTTGACTGTAAATAGTAAGTTTAGGACCCCTGTCACACGGAAAAGTTACTATATTTTCATTAAATGATATGGGATTTAATCAGCTCGCTGTCTGAGTGATTGTACGAGCGTCGAAAACTGATTTGTCGACATCATATTGTCATTCGATGGAAATTACATTATTTTAATTCAGTGACTGCACGCGATAACATCGGTTACATGATCGTTAGTGGCACTGGTCGAGCCATGTCCGCGTTAGCTACGTCTACCTGATTTTTAGCTGTGATCTGTTGCTGCTTCCAAGCACTGCGTGTCTCGCCCTTTTGTCGATGTATGTCTGTATAAAATATGCATTCCTACATCAATAATTGCGTGACTCAATGTTTTTGACTTAAAACAATTACATTTTTCTATAGACGTCTTATACGCATACCTCGTGCCATTTCGTACCGATTATTTAGCGGTGTAATGGCTTGCTTGTGTAATAAAGTGTTTCTTAGACCCGTTGCTATAGTGCAGTTTTCATTTTAGCCAATAAGACACGCGTATGTGACGAAAAGCGCGTTACGACGGTCGATCCACGCGCGTTGCCTTCGCTTCGACACGCGCCGCCGATGGCCTTCCTTTGCGACGTCACGAGAAGAGTGCTACGGCCTTATTTCCAGAAAATGTTGGTTGGGTTGATAAGTGAGGAGAGTAAGGAGGCAAATGAGAAAGAGGCGAGGCGTCGAGGGAGCATGGTTTGTGGAGGCTACGCGGCTGAGGTCCATGCCCTCTCTTACCCTTCTATCCTCCTTGATGGTGCTACACTCGGGTGGAGAATGAACGTTCGGTGATGCCGGCAGTTTATTGTTCTGTCCAAGGACAGCCTGGACGTTCCTTTCCGGCAAAGGCGAATAGTGTAATTCACGATGCGAAAAATGTCAAGTCGCGATGTGCACTGAGTAGCGCACGTACCATGAAGTCGCAGTGATACCGTTCATGAATCACAATATATAAATACACGGTGTTGGCTGCAGACATAATAGGGAGTTTTAGGGAAGCATTTTTTCACATCCGATATGGTGCGATGGGCCCTTTGGTACGAACTGCTCATATGCGAGTCTTCTGTGGTTGCGCATGCGCAGTTTGTACCGGAGGGCCCATCGAACCGCATCGTGTGTGCAAAAACGGTTCCCTAAAACTCTCCACTGACATAACTCTGTGCGGACACGCACCAAGCATATCTCAAGCGTGTTTGCCTTTATACACGCGTTCGCTGGGGACACGCCTGCAGACAGTAGAGAGTTTTAGGAAACCGTTTTAGCACATCCGACACGGTACGGTAGGCCGTCCCGTACCAACTGCGCATGCGCTATCTCATAAGATTCCCATATTCGCCCTGCGTACCGGAGGTCCCATCGTATACCGTATCGGATGGGAAAAAACGGTCCCGGAAAGGTCTCTAGTGTCTGAAGACCGTCTTTTGTAAGATGTATCGGAATGTGGGACCGCGGCCGGTTTTAGAGTTCACAGTCTAGAGGGCGGCTCCCCTGCGTTCAAGAAGTCAAGCACCTCCCGGAGCGAAGCGGACCACATCCTCCGTGCGCCTTTCGCGAAGCCTTCACGTTGAGCCTTCACGTTGTGCTGGGGTCGTTGACGACGAGTTTCCTGATGTTTCCAGATAATGATTCTTTCGTAATGAGCGTACGGTTGCAGTACCCGAAGTATACACTCAACGTCCTCCGGTTCATCGAAGGTGCTGCAATTCGATGCTTTGAAACGTGTGCAGAACCCCCTTGGTAATCAATCTATTCCTTCGTTTTTTTGTTTACGGTTGAGCTCATTTTTTTTAATTCGGAGTGGTCAAATGTTTAGGGATGTGCTTATCTGAATTCGATTGATCGGCAATGTGCTCAAGATGTCGAGCTAAACGTTTGTAAATCGCTGCATTACGTTGCCCGAAACAAAACTAACGATTTTCAAAATGGCGAGCGAAAGTGTTTATTCTTTCAGTTTGGAGTGGCGCCGGCCTTTCAAGAATCAGCACGGTAAATGCTGAATCTCGAGAAATGGTGACACGACGTACCTTGCAGCATCTGTATCGTTTCGTCGGAGCCTGTTCTGTTCTTATCTGTCACGACGACGGTGGCTCCCTCTCGGGCGAGTACCATGCAGACACTCCTGCCGATCCCACTCGCACCCCCGGTGACGATGGCGAGACGGCCATTGAGTTGCAGCGAACGGCACTCAGTCTGGTTGCTTGTGGAGCCTGAGTTGTTCTGATGGGCATCTGTATAGCTAAGCTCAGTCCCTGTAAGCGGGCTACATTAGTAAAACGTGTGGGAAAGGCTACACGAATATTACGACGTTACTCATGTACAGTGTGTTTGTTTTTAGGCATTACAGATTTTTCATAAGAAAGAAAGCCGTGAAAGCTATATTTATCCAACCCGTAGAAATGATCGTTATACATCATCAGGGGGAACATACTACAGGGTGTCACAAAAGAAAATTTACACGGTGTTTTTCACCGCAAAAATAAACTAGGCATCGCCGAACGCTCATTCTCGGCCCAAAGGTAGAACTAGAGGTCACAACCAGATGCCAAAGTTTCAGCCCGATCTGATAACTTAATCAAAAGTTATAAGTAATTTTCTGAAAATTTCAATCGGAAAATGGCGGCCGACGGAGTTTTCAAACACATGGGGCTCTATGGCACCAGAAACCGAACACGGGCAAAAATGGGCTCCATTTTCCTATTGAAATTTTCAGAAAATCACTTATAACTTTTGAACAAGGTATCGGATCGGGCTGAAAATTTGGCATCTGGTTGTGACCTCTAGCTCTCTATTTGGGCGGAGAATGAGCGTTCGGCGATGCCTTGTTTATTTTAGCGGTATAAAAAAAGACCGTGTAAATTTTCTTTTGTGACACCCTGTATATGGGACTAATCCTCACGTTGATTCAAATGATTAACTTAAACTTGTTCATTAAGGTTTTGATTTGAGAAAATAAACACGTTGTTGAAAACTGAAATTGCTGGGCGTCATCGAAAACCACCAGATCACTATATATCATAAAGACTTGAAGAGCGAAGCGCGGTTGTGCGCTTAACTTACCAGTCTGGCTGCAAGCGCAAGCCTAACGGTGCTAAAATGTGGGAGGAAAATTGTATCATACGTGTTTCTCTCTATTCAGTGAGTCATTTAGGCTGTGAGTTAACTAGGATGGAAAATCAAAAACAAAAGTACGGGCAGGAGTTGCGCACTGAAGTGACGCCGGTGTCATCGGCGAGAGCAGGTACCGATCTGAGAATGGTGCGAAATTTTGTCGTCACCTGGTCATAGCAACGGCTTGTTACGCTTTGACGTTGCTTCAAACCTGAAGCATTCTGTGCATTTCTGTTTTCACTTCTTATCTTAGTTTGGACATGGCGGCCTTTAGGCAGCCTAAATTTGTCACCGAACAGCACAGAGTATAGGCTATGCTTTTCTAAAATACGAGGGGCGTTCATAACTTTCGTATTATCGGCACAAAAAATTGAACAAAAAACGGAACAAAACAAGCCTCAGCTTCAGCGCGCGTCCCTCTAGTTGTCGCAGAGTATAAACATCGCATGCTATAGTAGTTTGGAACGCCGCTAGGGAGTCGAAACAAAAATGGCACCACCCGTCGGTGCCAAGCACATTCTAATTTGAAGGGAAGCAATGCCAAGGATATTCATTCCAATCTAGGAGCATTGTTCGGGGACAACGCCCTAGTTTATGACACTTTGGTTAAATTGCGCAGACGCTTCCCGTGTGGCCAAATAAGAGGAAAGCATTTCAAGGACGGCGACCAAGTGATTGATGAAGCGGACCGATTCCTGAACACTCAAAACGAGGAGTTCTATAACACTGGCCTCCGGCATGTATTGCATTGCTGGAAAAAGTGGGTAGCTTTAGGTGGCGAACATGTAGACAAGGTCTCAACTCCTACTCAAGTTTGATTGTTGAGCAGAACTGGAATAATTTTAAGAATAAAGTCGCCGTCCTCATCAATAAGTACATTCCACTGCGATCTATAACGTCTCGCCCTCAATCACCGTGGTATAACCCTTCACTGTGAAGGCTATCGAACAAGAAAAAGGGACTGTTTCGTGCCGCTAAATCTTCCAGTACCTATAACCGGTGGGAGTCTTATAACAATGCCAATGCAGTTTACAAAAATGCTATTCAAGATGCGACATACGAGTATTTTAACGTTAAGCTACCGTCTATGTTAGGCACTAACCCAAAGCAGTTTTGGAATGTTGTTGGTAAAGAAGAATTCATACTTCCACTCAAGGCCGCGAACGAAGATATCATTTCTAGTGATGAATATGCTCGCGTTTTCAATGACGTTTTTATTGAGTTTTTTCAAACTGTTATTAACACGCCTACTTGTAGATTTGACGCGAGTGATTTTTTTGCCTATGGGGCCCGTTCTTGTCGATCCTATTGGTATTGTTAAAATAATCGATAACTTAAAAATTCCTTCCTCTGTTGGCACCGAGATCATTAACTCAAAGTTCCTCAAAAACACAAAAATGTATTGCTCTTTGATATTATCTCAAAGTTTTTCCCCAGTCACTTTCACATGGAGAGTTGCCTGCTGATTGGAAGGTAGGGAAGGTGGTGCCACTCTACAAAGGAGGTGATAAATATTGTTCAGATGACTATCGACCAATTTCGCTTACTAGCATTCCATGCAAGATACTAGAACATATCATCTACTCACAACCAGTTCAATTTTTAGAAGCTAATCTTTTCTTCAGCCCGCTCAGCACGGCTTTCGTAAATCCTTCTTTACGAAACGCAACTTTTTGCCGTTCACCGATGATTTGCACCTAGCGCTTGACCGAGGGTCCCAGATAGACTGCATTTTTTTTTTTACTTTCCCAAAGCATTCGACAAAGTTTTACACAAGCTGCTGCTATTAAAACTTAACAGTCTTGACATTGACGCAAATGTCCTGTCCTGGATAACTTGTTTTCTCACTAATCGTTCCCAGTTTGCAACCGCTAACGATGAAACATCACCGCTCGCTTCCGTCAATTCTGGAGTACCACAAGGTTCTGCATTAGATACGCTATTGTTCCGTATCTACATTAACGATTTGCCAAATTCGATATCTTCTTCAATTAGTTTATTCGCTGATGATTGTGTTGTTTACAGAGAAGCTACTAACGCCTCGGATGTTTTGAATTTACAAGCTGACATTAACCATGTTTCAAAATGGTGTGGATTATGGGGGATGAAACTTAACACGACTAAATGCAAGCCGTGAGAGTATCGTGTCAAAGTAATGTTTCTCCTTCTTATTTTCTCGAAAATGTCCCCTTACCTTCTGTCTCTTTTTATAAATATTTAGGTGTGTATATAACCTCAGATATTTCCTGGCAAATGCATGTTAAATATGTCATTAATAACGCTTATCGAATGCTGTCTTATCTAAAACAAATTTTTTTACTTGCCCCTTCATCTCTGAAACTAACCCTGTACAGAACGCTTGTACGCTCTAAATTACAACATGCTTCTTCTATCTGGGACCCCGGTCATTCCAAGCTAACTAACGCCCTGGAATCAGTTCAGAATCGCTCTGCTCGTTTTATTCTAACTTTCATCGCACCGCAAGCGTGAGCTCCATGAAAACTAGACTATCGTTGCCTAACCTCACTTTACGTCGCAAAACAGCTCGCTTATGTCTCTTTCATAAGATATACCATACCAACTCATTACTTCAAAACCAACTGCTGAATCACCCGTCTTATATTTCGTCACGCATTGATCATATGTGTAAAGTAAACATTATGAAATGTAACACTAATGCACGCCGAGAGTCAGGCACATAGCCAGGATTTTGTTTCGGGGGAGGGGGGGGGGGGGGGGGGGCCGGTCATGACCAAATGCTGAATGAGGGGGAGGGGCGAGAGGAGGTCCGAGCAAAATTGAAGATTTTCGGGTTGGGGGGGGGGGGGGGTAAGGCCCCATGTTGCCCCCCCCCCCCCCCCCCCCCCCCCCCACCTCGCTACGTGCCTGCCGAAAGCCATTCATTCCGAAAACTTCAGTGGATTGGAACCACCTTCTTGCATCTATCGCAACAATTGTTCCTGACAACTTATTTAGAACTGCCCTAAATCATCTATACTGCTCAGATTGAGCTCCAAGGTGTACTACTGCCAGTGACCCGCACTCCCCTCTGCAATTCCGATGGCTTAGAGGGTATTTTAAATAAATGAATAAAGACTGCCCTGGATCAATTTAACGAAGGGCAACTTACTTCCGACACAATGCGGCAGCTAAAATAAAGTTTCGAGCGAGTTAATTGGGCTGTAGAAGATAAACTTTTATAATCCAACGCTACACTCATTCTTCGAGTGTGGACGATAGAACTGTCCATACTAAATCTCCATCTTAAAGGCCCCTACCATTTTTGGTTTTTTTTTTTGGAGAAACGGCTTTGTATATAAAAAATGCCAGATCGCGCTTACCAAGTGCCAGAATAACTGCGAAAACAATGAGGTTCTTGCCGTTCATGTTAGTTGGCGTCTATTACCTCAGTGTTGCTGAAACAATCTGACACGAAATCAGTTCTGTTCACCGGTCAATAAAGTGCCAGCTGCCACTGGTCTTTCGGTACAAGCTGGAACAAAAAGCTCCCCCGTCCACGCAACAGCGTTGTACGTAGTTGCTGATAAGTGGAAAGTACTACAGCTGTGATTTGACGCTCCGGTTACTTCTTGCTTAATTTCGGATCATCGGGAGGCAATGCACCTATACCATGTGCGGCGTACGTTGCTCTCTACAATGGCATCGAGGCGGTGAACTGGAAACAGAGATGTGCAAAACCACGAAAATAAAGAGGGTTCCGAAAACAGATCGCACTTGCAGCGCCTGCTGGCACATAGGCAGGCGCGGCTACCACAACTGCAGTGTTTTACCGAAACCAACGAAGAAATGACCGTTGCAAATCATTAAAAAAAGACCCTTTTGAAAAGTGCGCGTCATCTGGTGGTTCTTGCTCCAATTATGCGAGTCCGTCATTGTGTGGGCACGCACTCTGGACGTGTGTTGGACACGAGGGCTGCATCAGCGTTCGGAGTGCTTTCAGCGAGGGCTCGGTACCAATCATTCGATGCTTATGATTGCACAACTCTGCATGCAAAATCCCACCCTTTCCGTTTTGGTTCTGGATGAGCATATCGCACTAGCGTGTGGTCGTGTATCGCTACTGCGTGATGGACGTTAAAAAGCCCGGGCAAGCCGTGGAATTACCTTGGCTAAATTGCCTCCCCTGCTGGGGAAATACCAGGCGTCTTTTAGGGCTGACAGATTTCCCTTTGTCCAAAAAAAAAAGCAAAAAAAAACAACAACAACAACAACAAAAAAAAAAACACAATTACACTTCATTCTAAATTTATTGCCGCTTAGCCGAAATAGCACAGCGTTATACATTGAACGAAACGACTACTTTTATGCGTGACATTTTATTTGACTGTTCTCGTGCTCGCTGCGGAATCGCAAATGTGCAGTGCCCTCAAATGTCTAGTTTTACGCATTTCTGCTGCTTTTCATGCGGCTTATGGTCGAAGTATACAAGGCTGACACCTTGAATTTCGGTCACCATCGCCCCTGGAAAACGTCCCAGCCGGTCGGGTCTCAGATCTATTTATGAGCAGTCTGTAACAACTCGATGTTTGGGAGACCGAGTGGCGGCGTTCAAGAAATTAACATTCGTTTGTTAAGTACCCTACTGATCGTGACGAATCCTTCCGTCTGATATCCGCTGGTCGAGAGAAACAGACAGCGAAGACCGCATTCGCGTAATAATAAGCTCTCTCGTTTATTTGTTTTTACTCTATAGATTAAAACACATACCACGGATTGTGTAAATTAATATTCTTTTCAATTATCCAGTGACTTCGACGGCCGCTCCAGTCATGAAGCTGCTCTTAGGGCTGCACATGAACGCGATCGTCTCCGATATTTCTTCGGGACGTGCCTTTCGCTTTATGGAAGTTTGTGCGATTAAAACTGACACGATGTCCGCAGGTGTCGTTGCGAGCATTGGAGTGTCGACGGGACCGGGCAGGATGGCATTGACTCGGATGCCCCTGCTGGCGACTTCGAGGGCCAGTGCCTTGGTGAGGGTCACGACGCCGCCCTTGGACGTGGAGTAGGGCGTTCCCCGCGGGAGGACAGTCCTTGCAGCGATGCTCGCAACGTTGACGATGGCGCCGTCCGTGACATTGTTGGACAGCATGTGCCTAACCGTCGCTCGATCTATCAGAAATGTTCCCTGCATGTGAACGAACTCAAGTGAGAGGCCACTTCCCATGGGTACCTCCTTGAATATTACGAGCTGAAACCTCCGATCTGGCCTTTTACAGCGAAGCTGTTTATGGCTAGGGTTCCATGAATTTTTCGTGTGCAGTGACTAAAACTTCTACGCTCGCACCGCCGCACGCGCCGCATGCGCACGCCTTGCTTATATAAAATATTCGAAGTAAATAACCAAAATAAAGCGTTGACGAAGACGCGTGCAAGATGCCATTTGTTTTAAGCTATTGCTTTAGAACAGTTACCGCTGCAGACGCCGGCACGAGCGGCGCGTGAAACACCATTCTCTGCATTCTCCTTGATGCTTGGGTAATTTAGCAATAGGCCTATTCAGATAGATTAGTTATCGATAGGTACCATTTTTAAGATCAGTAGACAATAAAGGTTTCTCAAAGATTTGGAACTGTGCGACCTGCGTCGGCCATGTCTACGCTCGCTCCGCCCTCTCTTTGTCGTCGTTCCAAGCGCTTGCGTGCCTAGTTTCCTTTCCTTCCGCCCTCCCGGGGTGGCGGTCCCGTCGCGCGTGTCTAGGTTCCTCCGGCTGCTCGGGGCGGGTCTGTGTCGTCTGCTAAACAGCTTCGGTGGTCATCCACCTTCATAGAGAGAAATGGCTCATGATATTTTCTGCGTTTGCAGTCCGAAAAGGCTGTGTCATCTTTTAATATGCCTAGTATAGTTCGAAATATGGGACTTCAACTAGGCATTTCATTCCTAGTTAGGAACGCAACTCGTTCAAAAACTAGCAGGTATGCCAGAGACCCACGAACAAAGCGCATAGTTCCGCCAAGGCCCCTAATCTATAGACGGCGGTACCAAGGAACCGGAATATCGCCGCCTGCTGCGATTGGTCGGCGGCACGGAGCTAACCGATTACAGCAAGCGGTAATGTACCGGTCCCCTCGCCCTGCTTGATCCCGCTGCGTAGATTACGGCCCCTGTACTAATTGCCAGCTTAAGAAAGGCAAGGCGTGGCTTATCAGCTTCATGCTTATTGCTTCCTGATTCGCCCTTCGGCGCAGCAGCCTGCTGCACACAGTTCCACCGCCGTGTTCAAATGTAACTCACCTCCCACGAAATTTACCGGACGGTATTGATGGGAAACAGCGACGTCCGATGACGTTACATAAGACTGACCAAGCGTAAAACCATGACGTCCCGTGGCGCCAAGAATTGCGATAAATATGGCGGAAAAAATTCTTTTTACAATTACATTAGCTGGGGTATTGCGACGTCAGTGAGAATTGCGATAAATATCGCCGAAAAATTCTTTTTACGATTACATTAGCTGGGGTATTGCGACGTTGGGAGAGACTGCGACGTTACAGTGTCAGGTGACCTCAACGTTTATCCTCTAAATTCAGCGGGACAAAAAAGTGCGGCATCCAATGACGTCAAGAGACACTCTGACATAAGAGTGTCACGTGACATGTGCTTGCAGCTACATCTAGCGGGTTCCGACCTACACACAAATGCACCTAGGGATCCACCGAAGGACGTTACCAAGAACGGCTGTTAGCCCCGAGAGGGACCGATTGGAGCGCTACGATCGCTTGATAATGACGTAGTGACCAGATTCACGTGATGGTTCCAGATATTTTCTGCGCTCTGCTTCGCTTTGGTTGTGTGATTTAACACGTCGCAGTAGAAACTGATTTGCTGAGTATATTTTGTTTCTGTTATGACGGAAAAACTACGTACGGCGAAACTTAAGAACAAATCCGAATACGCCAAGCGAAACGATCGAGCGTTGTGTGTAGGTTACGATGACATTCTAAGATAGCTTGATGGCCACCAACACCGTTCGCATACTTCGCCGTGGGGACCAAAGAGAACAGGAGGTATTCACTGGACGCCGTATTTGAGGGCGATGTTTATAGCGCATGCTCAGAGCGAGCTCACATTAATAGCCTGCTAAGACCGGCAACCTTGATGGTGCTAAATGCACGCTCCAAAAGGACTGCGGAAGCTCGCCGTCAACACGCGCTCAGCAGCAGCGCACACGGATATGGCCGCCAGTGAATACTCCCTATACTTCTACGTGCCTTTCGCGCGCTTGCCGAAATCGAGCGGCAAAAGAAAAGAAATAAGTACCCAAAACTTCAATTCTCGGTGAAGGCTGCTTGAGTCACGGACTCTGGAAGCAACGACAACCCCACCGACCGTAGCGGCCGAAATCGTACCCACGTAAAGGCCTATAGCAAGGCCTTCGACACTCGCTGCCTACGACCATCGGCCTCGTTAAGTAAAAAAAAAAAAAAATATATATATATATATATATATATATATATATATATATATATATATATATATATATTCGCGCGACTTTATTATTTTTTGTTTTTGTTTAAGTGGACCTTACTTGTATGCATAGCTTGAACCTCGATTAGAAGGTGAGCCTCATCTCACTGTTGCCCCCTCGTCCATTTCGAAGTATGCGGTTGTGGCGGACGCTCTCGTCGCAATGACACACTCGTCGATTTGATTTGCGTCTTTTTGTTAGAGCACAGTTCTTAGGCACTTGTTTCCGACTTGAGCAGCGTCGGCGTCGGCGTAACCGCGCGCGTTGCATTATGGGAATAGTGCCACCCGGCGTAACCGCGCGTTTCATTATGGGAAAATTTCCCCGCTAAATTTAGAATGAAAATTTTCGCTAAATTTCCCGCTAAACTTAGCGGGAAAAATTTTCCGCTAAATATAGCAGAACAATTTTCTCGTTATATAGGGTGGTCCAAGTCACCAGGCTCGATCTAAAATGGACCGTAAAAATCGACGCCTGCACATAGCCATCTAAACTTTTCGTCGAAGGTGTATTTCACAGGTCGGTTTTTTCTTGTAAAATTACAAAGCGTATATAGTTTTCTTTTAGTAAAAATAGGGCCAAGAAACTTGGCAAGGTCTATGGCGGGTGGCAACCCAGGCGACCAAGTCCAGTAACGAAGTGTGTTTGGCGTTCGTATTGATAGATAGCGTCGGGAGCAGCGTCTGAAGGTGCAGCCGACCAGCAAAAGAAAGCAAACGACACGCAGACGAAATCCGTTGGCAGCAAAAACGCCGCCGTTATGCAGACGCGTTCTTTACTTTAAGTTTTGCTTTTATTGTCCGGATTAATTTTTAACCGAAGGCACATTTCAAAAAGATTATGTTCATTTTAATAAACCGCGGCGGTCGCGAGCCGTCACGATGAGAAGGTAGCGCCATCTATCAATCCGAACGCCAAACACACCCCGCTACTGGACCCCTGTCGTCTGCGTCGCTGCCCGCCGTAGACCCTGGCAAGTTTCTTGGTCTTATTTTTTACAGAAAGAGACTACGCTTTGTAATTTTACAAGAAAAAACCGACCTGTGAAATACACCATTGACGAAAAGTTTAGATGGCTACGTGTAGGCGTCGATTTTTACAGTCCATTTTAGATAGAGCCTGGTGACTTGGACCACCCTATATTTAAATTTAGCGGGAAAAAATGAGGCATTTACAATTCCCTGTAACGCCGAATTAGAGCGCAGCTCATGAGGAGGAGGAGGAGAGGGTATGGTGAGGAGGGTATGCCCTTCCTCCTCCTTTGTACCCTCCCCATCCTCCTCTCCTTCTCCTCTCTTCGTCCTCCTCCTCCTCCTACCCTCCCTCGCTCCTCCCTCGTGACGTCACTCGTGACCCTAGTGACCCTCGTGACGTCACCTGCGACCCTCGTGAAGGTGACTGTGAAGGTCGTGACCTTCACAAGTGACCTTCGTGACGTCAATTGTGAACGTCACTTGTGACCCTAGTCACCCTCGTGATGTCACCTGTGACGTCACTATGGTAAACTTCCCATAATGCAACGCGCGGTTACGCCGACGGTGACGCCAACTTTAGCGGGGAGTTTGGCGTCGTTAAATTTAGCTGCTAATTTAGCGAAACTTTCCCGCTAAATGGGAGGGGAGCTGGAGAGAAGAGGGGCATACCCTCCCCTCCTCCTCCTCAAGAGCTGTGCTCTAATTCGGCATCACAGAGAATCGTAAGCATCTTTAAATTTTTTAACTACACTTCAAATAAACAAGGTATGGATTACCCTCGCATCATGTGGTACATACTTTATTTTAGAGCGCAGCTCTTAGACGCCCGTTTCCGGGTTCACACTCGCCGTCACCGTAACCGCGCGTGACGTTATTATGGGACATTTCTCATAATGACGACACACGTGACGTCACGTGTGCGGTCACGTGAATGAATGTGACGTAAGGTGGAATTTAGCGGAAAAGCGTTTCCGCAGAACTTAGCGGGGAAATTGACGTCATGTGACCAACACCAATTCAGTTGCCCCGCTAAATTTAGCCGGAAAATTCTCGCTAAAGTTTCTGATAAATTTAGCCGGAAAATGTTGGTAACTTTTCCGCTAAATTTAACGGGAATATTTTCGCATCTAAACATATACTATCAGCCCTCTCCATCCCACCGTTGATTCCAAAGGCTTGGCGAAAAAATAAGCTCTCCAGCGTTTTTTTTTTTCGTTTTTTTTTTTTGGGGGGGGGGGGGGGAGGGGAGGGGGGTGTTGGGTGTGTGGGATTTTACTCACCTTGAGATTAGTGCCGACCACATCGTCAAACATGGCGTCGCTTGTTTCCGCAAACAGAGCTCGCGTTCCCGTGATACCGGCGCTGTTGACCACGACGCTGATCTTTCTGTCCGGAAAGGAGGCCTCGATCTCATCGAAGAGATTGCTAACGGCGGTCGAGTTGGAAACGTCCACGAATATGGCCCGGTGATCACCATTGTGCGACGCTGCGAGAAGGACATAGGCAGAATGAGCGATTACTTATGCAACGGCGCTTCGTATTCCGAAAATGGACCGCCTGTCGGCTTATTTCGCGAACAGTCGCCCCGAAACATGACGTCCTGCTTTTTGTTTTCAAAATTGAAACGAACGAGGAATCTGCCAAATGAGGTTCCTTTTAGAGCGCAGCTCTTAGGGGCCCGTTCCCGGCTTGAGCGGCGTCGGCGTCGCCGTCGCCGTAACCAAGGTCATCCCAAGGTCACTTGACCCCCAAGGTCACGTGACCCCAAGGTCATCCCAAGGTCACGTGACCCCTCCCCAAGGGTCATCGGGGGTCACGTGACTCCCCAAGGTCACCCCAAGGTCACGTGACCCCTTCCCCAGGGTCACGTGACACCCAAAGTCACGTGGCCCCCAAGTCACGTGACCCCCGATGACGTCATCAGTGACGTCACTGATAACGTCACCGGCATCCGCATCGTCATCGTCATCATCACTGATGACGTCACCGGCATCCGCATCGTCATCGTCATCATCGCTGATGACGTCATCGGTGACGTCACTGATGACGTCACCGGCATCCGCATCGTCATCGTTACTGATGACGTCATCGGCATCGTCATCGTCACGTGACCCCCCTAGGTCACGTGACCCCCACCCAAGGTCATTTGACCCCCCCCCCAGTACCCTTCCCTCCTCCTCAAGAGCTGCGCTCTAATTCGGCGTTACAGGGAGTTGTAAACGGCTTTCACTTTTTTTAACGGGGAAATATATTTCTACGTTGTATAATTCAAAGCACGCTCGTGGTAACTTGTGAATTGTCAAGTAAATATGCACCTTACTAAGAAACCAGAAATGCGAAATTCTTCCCAAAAGTTTCCCGTATTTAGGACTTACGACTCCCTAGAAAGCTATGCTCCCCGCTATCGGAACTTTGTTTCTCCCCACACGACGGACCTTCGTCCGTCTGGATCATGGGACATTATTTGAATTCGCAGGCCCCGCAATCTTTCTGAAGAACAGGCCAGGCTCCTCTCACCCCTCTCCACTTTAGGGGTCACGCTGCTCACGGATCATACAAAAGACAGTCTGCAAACAGTCCCCGTACATCCGTGGTTCGAATGCCGCGCGCCAAGTTTCTCCTAGAACTCATTGCCATGCGGCACTCGGAAGCACGGTTATCGCGGCGACTCGCGTTCTAATTCGTACGCTGACTGTCCTTTTTTTTTGTATGATGTATAAGCTGTGTGACCGCCGCTTTATGGTTTTGCAATACGACCCTTTGAGTTGAAATTACGGTGCTAGTACTAAGTAGATGATCGTTGTATCGCATTGCTCTGTTTTGAGCTGTTATAACAAGCAGGACGACAGAAACCACTTCTTGCATTTTCTGTCAAGCACGTCGACAAGAGCTGATGGCAAGAGGCAACATTGATCCAACGCAGCATAGTGATTACACGAACACTTTGAAGAGTTTTTGTTCTAAAGAGGGGCTGAATTAGGGGCTCTATAGGTTACCCCTGTGTGGCGACGCCTATAATCACAGCCGTCGGTTCAAACAACCTAAACAACGCGGAAGTCAAGATTTCCATCGCAACGCAGTGGAGGCGCTCTGATTCGCAAACGGTCAAATGACCATCTCTAGCTTTGAGATATAATGCTGATCTCAGCCTTAAAGAGAGCTTCCTATTTTACGAGCCGGAAACGTATTTTTTTATATAAAAAAGAAGGCGCTTGGGGCCTTATGTGGCAGTCATTTGCATCACAGAACGAATAGTACATAAAACAATTGAAATATATTTGTTCCTTTTATTTAAGCCTATTCGACATAAATCCTCTTTGATTACATTTTTTACATAAATTTTGTCAACTGTATTTTTAATTCATATCACAGATTAATCATCAATTCTTTCAGAGAACCGAGAGCACCAAAACAATTGTGCACAGAGCAGCGCACTTTCATTCCGAATTGCTGCCTACGAGCTAAGGTGGAAAACGTCAGTGCCTGAAGCCTGTTAGTACAAACTACTCCAGCAAGAAGCAGGCAAACACCGTGCGTTTAAAATGCACCGAAAATAAGAAATTACGAGAACATTGAAGCCATACGCAATGCTCAAAAGAAAAACAAAAAGAAATGTCTGCCGGGACCATATATTTTGTATCGTACTAATTTCGAGCGAAGTCGACGCTGTGTGAACAAGTTCTCTATAGCGGTGTTCCGGCTGTGTTTGCTCATGTTGCTTGTTCTTCACTCGTGCTTTCCAATAAACTACGAATTTTCCCCTGAGAGAAAGAAAGAATACTGAGCCATTTAGACTCAACCACGCGTGCTCACTTCATGCTTAAAAGTGTCCACACAAGCTACAAGCACAACGATCAGTTGGCCTACTGGAATTCCCTACACCTCCTGGACCTGCAGCTGCACTCGGTGCAGACGGCCGTATTCGATTTACGCGCGGAGCCTATCTGAAAACAGCCGGAAGTATATTTTCCTGCACTTTTCTGCACCGCGCCACACGTTTCTGCAGCGGTGCATGGTGGAGCAGGTAAAACGAATGCGCTCAGCGATGTCAAAAATCCAAATAAGAAATGACCAAAATAAGACCTTTGAATTATAAAACCGGAGCGGACCGACGCACAAATGGGTATTTAGAGAAATATGTCTTCGGGATATCACGCGTTCCATCTGTGTGGTGGATTACACAGTGGGAAATGATTAAGCCTTGCACTAAAACAGAATTGCGAAACTACCGTTTTGCCGATTCGAGGCCGTTGATGTCGGATTGACCACTTCTGCAGAAAAAAAAAAAAAAAAAAAGGAGGAACTTCGGTTAAGTCAATGAAAAGTTAACATCATTTAAAATAGCATAATCAACATATATGACTTCTTTTAATAAAGCCAGCTCCAATAAACGTTTTTTTATAAAATTTAGAAATATGTATATATGATGTAGTTAAAAATAAATTAAACTAAAATGGTACCTGTCGATAGCATATTTATATGATGGTAGGTGTACTGTATTTAGTAAGTAACCTTTGTTGTGAACTATAAGGTACAGGGCTCCAAATAGGTAACCAGAAGGTCCAAGACTCGATGTTTGTACTTTTTTTTTTTTCTGGCATTAAAAAGTCAGAAACGTTTAGTTTAAACAAAAACGTACACCGTACATTATATATTTGTAAGTGAAAGCATTGAAAGTGATTTATAACAACCGACAGATCTGGATACAAAAATCAAGCAGCCGAAATGTAGCATTTAACTTTGCTCCACTTGTAAAGTTTTGTCTAGAGAAATAAGATTTAAAGATAGTTGAGCAGCGGCCTTCTTCATTACGGAAGTGGGACTATTAAGTACATATTTCTTAGGCATTTTAAAATACCCACCCCGACACGCGTGTTTGTTTTCAAATGAAACTACCCTGTCTGTACTGATCTGTCTATCATGGAAGACTGGCAAACACTCCGTACTAAGGGAACAAAATTAACGCGAAGGCAAAACATAGAATGCAAGGAACAAAAATATATATTTCTCATACCAAAAAAATAGTCAGAGTGCAGGCGAGCTGGTGTAAGTTGAACATGTATTGTAAAAGCTTGGTCTGCTGGGCAAGTTGGTAGTGGACATTCATATTAAAAATAGCGCAAAAGAGACGGGACAAAAAGACGAAGAAGCACACAGGACAAACGCTAGCGTTTGTCCTGCGTGCTTCTTCGTCTTTTTGTCCCGTCTCTTTTGCGCTATTTTTAATATATATAAGTTGAACATGATTGTAAACCAGAGACTGGGGCAGGAAGAGAACACAACAGAAGGTAGTGAAAGAGGAGGCAACGTCTCAAGACGTTGCCTCCTCTTTTGAGACGTTGCCTCCTCTTTTACTACCTTCTGTTATGTTCTCTTCCTGCCCCAGTCTCAGGTTTACAATCATGTTATATTTCTCATGTTTTTTGCGTGTTTTTTATTCCATGCGTTGCATTTTTAAAAAATAGAGATTAAGGCTGGAAAACACTTTCACCTTATAGGGACCTCTCCATTTCTAGTGGAGCGGTCGACCAACTAGGCTAACCAGGAGTTATGGCGAATTCGGGTGGTCAATCGCCGGCGAGCTCACGCCGGCGGCACAGGCAACGAAAACCGCGCCAGCGGCGCACCACGTGATCCTCTCCACCCGAACACAAAGCGCCTGCAACTGGCGTTTTCGTCGGCCTGGGTCGCGCGTGAACTTCGTTAACTTCTTCCACGATTATTTTATGATACAATAGGCACGCTCTAGGCATCAGCAACATATATTCTGACTCTGAGATGTGGGTAAACTAATTGTAATATATTTTGTTTAGATTCTCGAGGAACTGTTGCCATCTTACAAGGATCCTAGAAGGCTCACCAGCGTCGCCATTTTATATTCCATTTTCTTGTTATTACCTTTTTGCTGGAATCCTCAGCATTTTGATTTCACCAAGCCCTCTAAAATAGTAATGCGCGTTCAAGTGTCGAGCTGCAGCGCTATCAATACATTTTTTACAGCGGTGTAATAACACGCTGTGTCCCATAGGAAACTGATCTTACGGAAGCTTCCTTTAAAATATTTTATCTTTATCTCCGTTGTTTTTGCTGTCTTTCTCGGACCACAGAGGGGTGTCTGTCTCAATGGCTTCGTTTTCTACTCGAATCCGCTATCGGCGACCATTGTTTCGTTTGGTTCCCTTTCCCGATTCGGATATGACGATACCGGATACAGTCTGGCAGACAAGCTGCCCGACCTCTTGGAGCTCGGGCAAAAATTGTGCCGGTAAATTGCCAGCACACGCCTGAGAAGTGCCACCCGAACGGCGCGCACTCGCCAGCCTTTGACCACGCGAACGCCCTTGGCGGAGATATGGCAAAATATTTTGCCGGGAAATGACCACGCGAATTCGCCATTAGACGTCACTAGAGCAAACACGTTTTAACAGACAAAAGAGGAAGAAAATTTCTGGGTTCCTCCCTTGTCTTTGCGCTAATTTTACCACGATGTATAGCTAACTAGCCCACCGGATGATTTGAATAAGGTTTCAACAGCTGCCGCCAGTCAGACACCAACAGGGGTGAACGGCCTGCATTTTAAGGTTATGATGATAATGTCTTTGTCCCCATTATTTCCCATGATGATGATGGTCTTTGTCCCCTTTATTCCCCTTTTTCCAGGGATTATTATCGTTATTCTTGTCTAGCTTGCTTGCACCTTTGCATTAATTGCATTATCATCCTAACCTTCAAATGCAGGCCATTCACGCTCGTTGGTGTTCGATTGGTGGCAGCTGTTAAAACCCGTTGGCTCTACTGACGTCCAACTCCTTGCTAGCACAGTCGGCACAGCGCTCCACTGGAAATGGAGAGGTCCGTGGTTCGATACCAGGACCAAGCGGATTTTTTCAGTCGCGCTCCAGTCGCTTTGATGTGCTTGGAGATTTCTGCTTGCCCTTTGTCCCCCTTGTTTTCCTTCTCCAGGGATTATTATCGTTATTCTTGCCCAGCTCGCTTTCACCTTAGCATTTTTTTTGCATTATCGTCATGACTTAATCCTGTTTTCAGTTGTTGGCTGCGCTTCTCTACGGTTGAGCATATACTTTCGTAACTGAATTTAACAAAATTTAGGAAGTATGCAGTTGAATTTATATTTTCTCAGATTGAATTATAACAAAAAAAAAAAGAAAATTAGGAATTAAAATTTTACGAAGCAAATGACAAGCATTACGATAGCGAAAATTTCGTGAATCGCTGTAATGAGGTGTATAAAATTGGTTCGGTCAAAACGATTGGTTAGCATGGTAATGAGTCATTTGACCCACATTGCAGCATCTGTACTGTTTCGTTGGAGCCTGTCCTGTTCCTGTCTGCCACAATGACGGTGGCGCCCTCTCGAGCGAGTACCATGCAGACGCTCCTGCCGATCCCACTCGCACCCCCCGTGACGATAGCCAGGCGACCCTCGAGGCCCAGAGACCGGCACTCGGTCTGATCGTCTGCAGAGCCAGGGTTGTCGTGGGTCGCATCTCTTTGACAGAGCACAATGCCTGGAAACGTGCAAGGTTATTCAAATGGGCGGGAGATTAAATTACGACCAGTGTTAGTTTAATAGATTTTACCATAGCCTCCTCTATATTCACAAAGCCTGGCAGTTCGACGACGGAGCCATAGAATGCCCGGTCGCAGATTTGGAGTGCGAGGATCTGGTAGCACAGAACATCAAAGAGCCATTTCTCGGGGAATCTGAACGTCAGCGAACAGCTTTCGCAGCGGCGAGGACCCGAAACATACTGGTTCGCTTGGGAGAAGTGTGTTTGGACGTCCCGCCGCAGCGGGGCGCCAGTCACGTGACTCTTCTCTCATCCGTTGCCTGCCGCTCCACCTTTTGCATTTCGGCGGCCGATCCTCGTGACGATCTGCCAGGCTTTGTCCCTATATAGGAGGCAATGGGTATATAGTTATACCCATTACCATTTGTTCACGCTTTCTTTTTCTTTAGCTAAGAGATACGTACTTGGCACTGTGTTAACCGTATTGTTTACGTAAAATCTTCCACACGTCAACGCGAAGCTGGTATCTAAGCTCAAGGATAGTGTGACACAATAGCCATGCACTTCATCTTTAATTATTCGCATCACATTAGTAATCTCACTTTTTTCCTGAAACTAAATGTATAGTTATTGTGTTTTATTCTAATTAGAGACTCAATAAAAAAAGGTGTCAAGCGTTACCTTTATTTCCGCTAGTTGTCATGAAAAGAATGAGTATGCAATATCTTGAGATTCCAATTCGCCTAATGGGAATTCGCTGCACCACCGCGCTTTACATGATCAAGACTGGTAACCCACACCATTTATTTTCAGATAACTCGTCACACAGCACTCTTTATATATTTTTGCTTCCACTATAATTATCTAAAAAGAGTGAATGACTCAGATTTTATTGACAAAGGTCGCGTTTTTTCCTTACTCTAGTTTCATCCCATGTTTCAACGGACGTCATGAACCCCGTTTATAAAGGTTTTTCTCACCATTCTATATTCCTTCATTTCTTCCTGTTGACAGATTTTGTTTTTTCTCGCATTATTCATAACATACTATAATTCACCATGGAGTCGATTCCCAAGTGCAAATATACCTCTGGCTTGAGTAATGGCCTGAGGGCTATGGAGCCCTTAAATCATGGCTCAACTTTTATAGCGTCAGTAGCCCCAGGAAGCACGGTGGTAGACCGCAACCAGGTTGAACGATGTTCTTCGCTCCCAGCGGTAAGGGAAAGGGGGGGGGGGGGGGGGGAATCTTTGCTGCGAATGCAGCGGGAGCTACTGGACCGGGGAAAAAAAGTTCTAGCGCCAACCAAACGAATGGTATTGGAAACAGCCAACGAAGTGGATGGTTATTCATTTAGCTCATTTTTGGTATTCTGATCCGAGCTGAAGGATCAGTTTCAAGTCACCTTCACTTGAATAACCCCGCCGGACTGCCTGGCGGGAAGTGGGGACCCGGCGTCTAAGGAGCCCTAGTCTACATCTAGGCACCGAAACAAAGAACCGCATTTTCCGAGTGACTACTTTAACGTGTTCACACGCATCCGTGTCAACAAGCGCGGTGTCCACTTTAAGGCAAACAGTTTTTAGAAAAGAGAATTTGAATTAATGAACCGATCCCTTCGAGGTGACGTTAAGAATAACTGTGGATATCAGAGCACAGGTGATTACCCCCCCCCCCCCCCCAAAAAAAAAAAAAAGCACGATATATATATATATATATATAAATTTACCTATTAAAAGGATATTTAAGCTTGTGGCAAACATTCGGTGCTTTGATGATTAAAAACAAAATCGCTTACCAACTGCCAGAATGACCACAAAAATAGTCGGCATCTTTCCGTTCATAGTGATGTACTACGTGGGAGTTAGTGAAATGGTTTGGAGCAAGATCTACTCCCCTCCTCTTGTTAAAAAGTGCAAAGTTGCAATTTGTCGTTTAGGACAAAGTGTTACATAACAAACTCTTCCCCCCCCCCCCAAAAAAAAAAAAAAAAAAAAAAAAAAAACACGACGAAAGGTGTTTGCAGCGCCAGAAAATTTTGAAGTAACAGCTGCGAATTCGCGCTCCAGTTACGCTTCTACCCGCTTTCGGTTATCGAGAGTCAACGCGCTAATGACTCCGTGACATACATTGTCCCCCGAGTCCGGGTCAAATGCAAAGAGAAAAGCGCAAAGCCACAAGCTGGGAAAGGGTTGCGAAGCTGGACTGCACTCTACCCTGTTTCACCTAACGCTGGACCACAGAGCATGCTGCGGGCCACCGAAGCCAGCCCCACGCCGTGTGAATGTCGCGTGATCGTCATGAGAAATTCTGCGGCGCAATGGGAGGCGTCGTCACGTGACACATTCACGGCTCTGGATTGGCTGGTACGACTCGTAGCGTCCACTGCGGTCGATCTTAAGGTGAAACGGACGCTGACAGACTCATCCAATAATTGCCTACTGTGCACAGTCAAGTTTGATTTCTAAGCTCTGGAACGCGTTCCAATCTTTTACCCGAAATATTAGTTGTCACGCATCCGTACACGGCCCAATGACAAAGTATTGTTTACATGAGTAATAAGCGTTGAAAAGGTTTATATTATGTTGGGCAGGATAAGAATAGGAGCATACGCTCTTGTAACATAGTCATACAAGTCCTTCCACTTTAGCAGAACGAACACTGGAGAGGAAGTGAGTGTAAAGAAAGCTTACCAATCATAAGGATCTAAAGAGATTTCTGTGCTTTTTTTTGTAATTGCATTTGATGTCGTCATCTCGTTCATTGGTCATAGAAAAAGATGAGGTTGTTTTTTGTGCATGGGTTCTGACGAGACAATACACATACACACAATGAGTTGTGAGTCAGCGCCGAGTGAGTGTATATCTTTTTAGTGTGTCTGTGTTTGTGAGTGTTTCTCTTGTGGTGCGCTGTAACATTAGTCAACATAAAAGTAAGGGAGGCCGCGAACTTTTTTCGATTCGAAGTTTCGATGATCGAATCAAGCGGTTCGAAAGGCTCGAAAGATTTCGATTTTCGAACTTTTCATATCGAGAAATTCGACCGAAGTCGAATTTTCGAACTTATTAAAGGGCAACTCCGCTAAGTTCCGAAGATTGATTTCGAATTAAAAAGCCCCAGTAAAACGCACCACGTCGTTTGCTTCGCAAAAAATAGGATATATATTTTTAAATCTGATATTAAACACGAGCGGAAATCGAAACCGAAACTTCGGCTCCGACCGGCCACATTGGCCTCGGGTCGCCAAGCACATGGCCATCACGTGGTACGAGATGTCACGTGATCCTCGGCCCAACGACGGGCGGGATTGGGGCAGGCGTGTGGCCATGGAGAATAGAAGGGTAGGAGAGGGCATGACGTCAGCCGCGTAGCCTCCGCAAGCCATGCTCCCTTGACGCCTCTCCTCTTTCGCATTTTCCTCCTTACTCTCACCACACCACGTGACCATAGCTAGCCTTCGTCTAGCTATGGTGTACTAGAACACAACACACCCTAGCCTTCGATCTGATAAAACCTACCGGACGGAGCGCGCGCAAGCCTGCAAGGATCCTCCTACAATCAGCCATCCATCTCGCACGTGACATGTCACGCGCACCAATCGCCAGACAGATCTGCGGTCACGCTGGGCACAAAATCGTTTAAATTTTTTATGACTAGGCTTCACCAATATTGCAACGTGCCCCCTCCTAGTACTTCTAACCTCCTTGCGTGTGGCAGGCGCGAGTGTCGTCTGCACCGCACTCTTCGCCACGTTTTGGTGTCTACGGCATTCGACGACGTCTGCACAACTGCGGCATAAGTGTGCGCGCACGTGGTGTCCGTAGTGTGGACGAAACTCCGACAGACAATAATCACAATCGGTGAGACGACGACGGCGGTTGTGACGCGGAAGACGGCGGTAACGGCGGGACCACGGCGGGCGGCCGGACGGCCCCCAAGAAACGCGCTGCGCAGGCGCGTTACGCCAATCACGTGCACACTGCTGAGCGCCGAGAGGCAACGCTGCTGACGTCATGCGCTACGCTCGCCCGGAGAAGAGAAAACAAGCAAAATGGGGCCATGTAGATGGCGTTTAGCTCAATGTTGGCTCCGCCCATGCCGTAGCCTTGACTGCGCTGTTGGTTGCGCCTGAATTCGTCCGCTCGAGTCAGCCCATTTCGGCAACTTGGTGAGTTGCAAAGTTTGCCGGACCGTTTAAGAAACACTTAGACAGAACTGCGTCGTAAGATTTTACGTGTGGTCTTCCTAGGCGATACTGAAGAGGACTACATTGTTTTTCAAAACCAAAAAATGAAGCGGAGTCGCCCTTTGAACTAAGAAGTTCGACGCTTTTCGAATTATCGAACTTATTACGCTGCAAAATTTGATGCTTGTCGAACTTTAGAACTTGACTAAAAAATCGATGCTTTTCGAACAATCAAGCAGAACCTGCACTTCACTGACAATACCAAGCAAGCTCTAACTGGTAACGGTGACGCAGAGTGAATGTTCAAGATTCGTCCTTTTGTTGAGCACATACGTCAAAAGTTCATATCAATCCCGATGTCTGAAGGAATGGTCTGTGCAAATGAGCAGGTCATACTTTGCAAAGGGAACAGTCGCCACAAGAACTACTTTCCAAATAAACCCCAAAACAGGGGTTTAAACATTTCCTGTTTCGTGATTTCATAGGAATTGCCCACAGCCTCGAAATTTACACCGGGAAAATTGGGCCAGCAAATGAATACTCCGATATTGAAGGAAGTGGTAATATTGTTCTCAGATTGGCAGCCGTCATTCCCTCTGGTAAAAACTACAAACTGCACCGCGACAACTGGTTCACGGGCATCCCTCTATTTGTTGAACCTGCCAAGCGACAGATCTGGTCTCTGGGGACCGTCCGCCAGAATCGTTTGCCTGGATGTGCCAGTGACTGAGGCAGCACACTGATGTACCAACCCCTGCCTGTGTTGCAGATTATAACAAATTCGTAGGCGGAGTGGATCTGGTCGACCAAATAGCAGCCTGTAAAAGGACTCGGTTAAAGTCAATGAAGTGATACTTGCAAATATTTTCTCACCTTATTCACCTCATTGTTGGCATTGCGTGGTTTCTCTACAAACGGTACTCGCTAAAGTCATCTGTGCAACAAATAACGCAATGAAACTCTCCGACTTCAAAACCAATGTGACGTACACTCTGGAGTTGTAAGTTGATTTTCGATTTCTGCAATTACTCACTCTTACTAATGTAACTTATCCGTTTGTTTTAGGATGACAGAGCCAGTACGTAGAACTGCAATCGGCACCGAAATTACAGAGAACTGCAATCGGCACCGAAAAGAAGCATCGAGGATTTGCGCAAAGAGAGGTACAATCTGTCGAAGAATCTGGACCCCAGCGGTCCAGTTTCCTAGACAATATGTTTGGGCTGACCAAGCATTCCATTGGCCCACTTAGAGAACAACCAAGGGGAGGGGGGGGGGGGGGGGGGGGTTGTTTGCATGAAGTGTAATGCGAACCTCTGTTCCATGGCGCCTACCAAATGTTTTTATGACTTTAACGCTTAGACACGTCATAAGTCTAGAGACTGATATAATTTTGACCTTGTGTCAATGTGTGAGAAACATATTTCTAATAAATACTTGTAAGACCTCAAGCATGACTATTGTGATTTCAAAGACACACAACTGATACACCAGAAGTAACCTTCGAAATTGCAGAAACTGCTTCTTAGCAGCTCTCGGAAGACTAAATACAGAGTATAGCAGCGAAAAATCACTTTGTAAGGTCTGTACCTTATTATTAGGGATGCCGCGAACCACCCTAGGTTCGAATTCGAAAGGTTTCTATATTTTCAAACCGAACCCATGTTCGATTTCAAAAAGTTTCGATATTTTCGACCGTAGGGAGGTTCGAAATCGAAAAATTCACAACTTTCCAAAATCTCAGTAGAGTAGATTGTTGGGCTAGTTGGTTTTGGAATTTGGAATACATTTTAGCGCTCAAAAAACAGGGACAAAGAGGCGAGAAACAGCGCACTGTGCTGTCTGTTTCTCGCC